GGGATGGCACAACTGGCTGGCTTCTTGGAGTTGTTTCCGATCTCAAATTATCTCAGCCACCACCAATTGCTACAGTACCCCCTGGAAACTGGAAACTGGAAACAACCTTCCATTTGCTTTTGGTTGGGTAGGACATAGCCTGTATTTTTTTAAGTTTTGTTTTAACTTGAAAGTGTACTAATATTACTAATTGATGTTCTAATTTTGCTTTGTCTCGATTTATTAAGCGAAATATATTGTCTCTAAAGCAGGCAGTTAGAATTAAGTATGTTAACATTTCTGTGTGTGTCTGTGTGAATAGATAAAAAGACCTCAAAACCCACTTGAAAATTCATTTGTGTTTGCTAATACATTCGTTAACCATTTTTTTTTTATTCATTATATCCTGGTCTTAAGATTAAAATCTAGTGACTATTTTTAAGATTAAAGTTCAACAAAAGTTTTAGACTTTATTCCTTATAGCGTAGTTTATATCCACCTGGATTTGATGCCAAATTGAATATGATGTTAGTGTGTTTCATGTAATGCTACCTTTATATTAGGTGTTTGTGGAGTCTGATGCTGACAAGTTTGGAGTTTAATAATTTGTAGACAAAGAAGAATCCTGGAACATATCGTCATTCTGTAATCTCATTCTTGGATCAAGTAATGAAAGGCAAAGAAATGAAAATAGATAGGTTAGGCTGTTCACATGGCATCTTCTTTTTTAGTTGATAATTAAACACCTACAGTATGTTGCTGAGTCTCATCAAATTAATTTATTTGCACCTTTTGTGTGCTATATTCTTTGACATCTTTGAATTTTTTTTTTCTCTTATTCTGGATGAGCATGAAGTACTTTTATGCCAAATTCAAAGTATCTTTGGTATAACATTATATTTGTCTTGAAATCTTATAATTACTTTCTTTTGCAGTTTGATGTTATTTCATTAGTGACTTGTCACATAAAGGCATATTTATGAGCTTCTCACACCTTTACTGTAGTTTTGGAAAAAAATTTCTAAAGTAGATTCCAGTAAGTTTTTAAAGCGAGGATTGCACTTTTGTGGACCATATGCTTTCCATGATAAGTTGCATGTTAGGAAGGGCCATGTTCCTTCCTATGATAAGATATTGTCTCCACTATGTCTAAGCTTAATTGGTTGTGCTATGTATACCACTTAATTGTACATAGTTCAAATATTTTGAAATTAATCATGGCTATGACTAATAGTAACAATAATTTCTAGATTTCCTGTAGAAATTTAGAAAATTCTGGATCTGTGAAAGACGTATTGGGCTTGTTTGGTTTGTTTTTGGAAGATCTGTTTTTGAAAAAAAAATTGGGGAGAGAGTTTAGAAAGTTTTTTGGTTTGTTTGGTTGTATATTTTGAGAGAAAATTTTTTTGTGGGAGTTTGGGATGATTTGATATTTTGTTGTAATTGAGTAGATGTGTGCGAGAGAAAAAGTGATTGAGAAGGAGAGAGGAGAGAGAAAAAGTGATTGATTGATGTGTAAGAGAGAGAAAGTGATTTTGGAAATTTTTTGAGAAAAATCTCAAACCAAACAATTTTTTGGAAATTTTTTTCTAAAACTCGTCTCTAAAACTCAAACCAAACAAGCCCATTATGTTTTGTCCTGTTTGTTCACCTAGTGTGGTTTTGCTATTTTTATTTTCATGATTCTTTTGCAAATTGTTCCTAAATATCATATTTTTCAAGATGTGGCTATATCTTTGCATCCTTAATCATCCCAAATTGTCTCGACGGAATTCAAATTCAGCCTGGTATTTGGATAAGCAATGGACTTTGAATTTCCTACTTCCTTCCTAGCCTGACATTTGGATATGACGTTATGCACTTTGAAACTATGGATATTTGAAGTCCATTGCTTATCTTTTTGCACAATTACATTTTTGATCTAATTTTGTTGTTGTTGCCATGTAAATTTCAATATAATCCAGTTGGCACATTCTCATGAGGATGAGAGCTCCAACACATGGTTCTTGTGATGCAATTGCTCCTCTTGATTTGCTCCTTTTCAACAGACACACTCAACAGGGTAAGACAATCAACTTTACCTATTGGTTCTAAGGAAAAGACGAAAACAAAGAACTTGCCAATTACTTCATATGGAAGCAGTTAACAAATCAAGAAGCTTTAGTTTGTGTAGAACAAGTGTTAATACGAATGCAATTTAACCTCAAGTTCTAATTCTAAGTTTCTTTTTGCTGAAGTTCATTATAATCTTTGAATTTTATGCTTCTTCTTTCATCGTAGTCCTTCTTGTTCTTGACATATGTTAGGGTTCCTAATTAGCTGTTGAAACGAATTTGAATTTGCAATCCTTCTTCTTTCATCGTAGTCCTTCTTGTTCTTTCATCGTAGTCCTTCTTGTCCTAGTATTGGACATTGAGTTTTTCAATTTCCAATCATTATGCAGATATTGCTATTCAACCAATGATAGTTTTTCCCCTATTAACTGTTGTTGACTAGGAACATTTGATCATTAGATGCTCATGATGATTGGAGTGTAGGTACATTATATTTGGGGCAAAATTGCAATGGAGAGACAATATAGTAATCATAAATATGGTTAATTAATGGGCATAATTCAAATATATAGAAACCTTGGGCAACAGTAGCAAAAGTGAAATAGGCTAAACTAAAGTAATGTTAACCATTTTTGTCACATAATTGAAAACAAGAAAAGGGGTGTTTCGGGGGCAAAAATTCAAAACAGCCCCCAAACCATCGGGTGGCTCTCACGGATAGTTTTCCCATGACAAATAGGACTTGTGACAACTAACGAAATGTAATTCAGACCTGTAGGTAGAGAGTTAGAGCCGAATACGCCCTAAACTTAGTTGAAAAAGACCTTTCCGGGGACAAAAATTCATAACAGCACCCGAACCACTGTGTGACTCTCACAGACTGCTTCCCCATGACAAATAGGACTTGTGGCAACTGACAAAATGTAATTCGAACCTGTAGGTAGAGAGTTAGAACCAAATACGCCCTAAACTTAGTCGAAAAGGGCATTTTGGGGGCGAAAATTCAAAACATCTCCCGAACCACCGTGTGGCTTTCATAGACAGTTTTTCCATGACAAATGGGACTTGTGACAACTGATAAAATGTAATTCGGACCCGTAGGTAGAGAGTTAAAGTCGAATACATCCTAAACTTAGTCGAAAAAGACCTTTCCAGGGGTGAAAATTCATAACAGCCCCCGAACCACCATGTGGTTCACACGGACAGTTTTTCCATGATAAATAGGACTTGTGACAACTGACGGAATGTAATTCGGACCCATATGTAGAGAGTTAAAGCTGAATACGCCCTATACTTAGTCGAAAAAGACCTTTTCATAGGCAAAAATTCACAACAACCCCCGAACCACCGTGTGACTCTCACGGATAGCTTCCCCATGACAAATAGGACTTTTGACAATTGACAAAATGTAATTCGAACCCGTAGGTAGAGAATTAGAGCCGAAAATCCATTAAACTTAACTGAAAAAAGGGTGTTCAGGGGGTAAAAATGCGAATAAGCCCCCGAGCCACCGTATGGATGCCATGGCCACCTTTCCGGTGACAAATAGGATCTGTGACACTAGACGAAATGTAATTAGGACGTGTAGGTTGGGTGTTAAAGCCAAAAATGCCTTAAACGTAACCGAAAAAGGGCATTAAGGGGGCAAAAATGGGAAACAGCTTCTGAACCAACGTACAGATGTCACGGCCACCTTTCCTATGGAAAATAGGACCTGTGACAGAAAAGGAAATGTAATTAGCACGTTTAGGTTGGGAGTTAGAGCCGAAAACACCTTAAACTTAATCGAAAAAGGGCGTCAAAGGGGCGAAAATGTGAATCAGCTTCCGAACCAATGTACAGATATCTCAGCCACCTTTCCTATGGCAGATAGGACCTGTGACAGTACACAAAATGTAATTAGCACATTTAGGTTGGGAGTTAGAGCCGAAAATACCTTAAACTTAACCGAAAAAGGACGTTAAGGGGGCGAAAGTGCGAATCAGTCCCCAAACCACTGTACGAATGTCATGGCCACCTTCCTTGTGACAAATAGGACCTGTGACAATAGAGGGAATGTAATTAGCACATGCAGGTTGGGAGTTACAGCCAAAAACGCCTTAAACTTAACCGAAAAAGGGCGTTAATAGGGTAAGAATGCGAATCAGCCCCCGAACCACCGTACGGATGTCACGGCCACCTTTCCCATGACAAATAAGACCTGTGACAACAGAAGGAATGTAATTAGCACGTGTAGGTTGGGAGTTAGAGCCAAAAACTCCTTATGCATAACTGAAAATGGGCGTTAAGGGAGAGAAAAAGCGAAACAGCTCTGGAACCACCGTAGGAATGTCACGGCCAGGTTCCCTGTGTCATATAGGACTTGTTACAATAGATACAATGTCATTTGCACACATAGTTTGGGAGTTAGAGCCGGAAACGACTTAAACTTATTCAGAAAAGAGAGAATTTGACATCCAATAAATGTTCAACATTTTCATTGTAAATGATGCCATTGTTTCACCATACACGGTGATCATTTGGGTGGTAAACGTATTTAGAAAGGATGATATGGTTATGGAGATAACCCGGAGATTACTCAATCATTTTACTTTGATTAGGAAAATGAGAATGAAGAAGAGTTAAAATAAATTTACCAGCAAAACATTCTACTCATAAAAATTTATTTTATGAAGAGGTATGCTCTTAAAAATTGTATTATTTGTAAATTGAAATCAAGTTTGCAATAAATCTTTCATGATACATACATATGATTGCATTTCGAAAAAATGTTTTCGTAGATTGATCTACCTTAAATGCATGTTATTACAACATTTTCCCTATGTCTAAATGAATTGATATTTTGTAATGGGTGCAATTGGTTTTTTATTTTTTGTAGATGGCTTTTGGCGTGGACTTGTGGATGGTCCACATTTTTGTTTATGGAGGACACTTGACACTTGACACTTTTGTATAATCCTGCTAACTATGTCTTCCTCTGCTTTTGTGAATATTGGCATTGCTGATACATATAACTTTTGTAATCCAACTGATAGTTGTTGGCGTGGCATATGGATCACCTTTTGTCGTGGTACAAATTACGATGGTAAGTTGTACCACACCAAATGGCCATATTGCATGGTAGTAAATATATTTTTTTGTATATGGCGAGTTGGATTTTTGTATGGAAATATAATTATAGTTTGGACAATAGTTGGTTTGTATGGAATATATACATTTAAAGTTATTCATTTTTGGATGGCTAAAAGTAATGTGGACTGTGGCATGATTGATAATTTTACATTGTGAAATGATGGATAGTATATGTATTGTTTTGTTTATATACGTATTATAGGTTGCATGGAATATAGACAGGTTGTGAATAAATTATAATTTTGCGATGACACATAAGAGCATGTTTTTGGTGACTAAATTGTTAGTGGCTAAAAAACAATTCGGAAAAAAAAAAAATCAAACATTTGGCGACTAAAAATTTTTTTAGCAAAAAACAATCAAACATATGGCGACTAAAATATGTTGTAGCTAAAAAAATAAGCTGAAGAAATTAAGAAAAAAAAAAATTGGCGACTAAAACTTTAGTAGCAAAAACGTGTGAGACTTTAGGCGACCAAATGTTTAGTAGCCTAAACACAAAATGTTCGCCGACTAAAATCTTAGTATCTAAAAACATAAGACTCAGGACGAATAAACCTTTAGTAGGCAAATTTTTTTTTTTGACTTTAGGCGACTAAAATCTTAGTAGCCAAAACATTGTTATTTACTTTAGGCCACTAATATATTTAATAGCTAAAACTCTTTTCTGCGACTAAATGATTAGTCGATAAAAATAACTGAACTTTTAGCGACAAAAAAATTAGTCACCGAAAATATGATATTTAATTTTATTTCAAACCTTTCGGCGACTAAAAAGTCGCCAATGATTTTTTCCAACAATTCTTCCCCGACTAATTCTGCTACCAAATATTTTTGTCGCTAAAAGCCTTCGGCGACTAAATAGTGACTTTTGGCGACTAAAAATTTAGTCGCCAAAAGTGAAAATTCTTGTAGTTTATGTGGGAAATAGGAAAGAAGGATATTGGTATCAAAGAGCCTCATAAGGCTACTCAAAACTCCTTTTTTCATTTCATGTGACCACCTGTGTTTGTGTGTGTATGTGTGTGTGTGCATTTGAAACAAATAGTTGGGATCTGACAAACTTTCTTTTTTTAATAAGCATTTAATCATCTTTTATGCATATGTCAGTTGTTTTATTATATGCTAATTTCTTTATATTGTGGTTTAGTCATTTCGATACGATATGCAGAACCACAGATTCTTTCCCAATTAATGATACTAATGTTGTTCTGTCCTTTTATGTGACATGTTACTGATGATTAACCATCCATGTGAAATTATTGTTATATTGTTTTTTCTTTTAATGGCGTTTCTATGACCCCTTGGAGCATTGAAGTTATTAAGATCTATTGATGATCAACCACTGCTTTGTTTTTTTCCCCCACTAAAATTGTCTGACAATTTGATCTGTGGTTTGAATGTTCTAGTACTAAAATAACTATATTGCCACTTGGTTCTCTAAATTTATCTTGATTGCCTTCAATGGAAAGAGCAGAAGATTACAGAATTTTATCTATTTGGGTGGCTGCATCAAAATTTAATCACTGTAGTCTGTGGTTATCCAATGAATATATACCTATATTATTTGGTGTGGAACTCCCAATGATTTTGAGTAACTTTTAATGCTGGAATCTGATTATTGTGAATTTTCAGCATAGTCGTACCTGATACAAAACCGTTAGAACATGCTGAGTTGTCTCAGAGTCTGAAGAATCTCATAGGCTACACTCTTGAGCTCAAACCATCTCAAATTCCGCATAAGGATGCTGGCCAAGGTTTATTCATAGATGGTCAAGCTAATGTTGGTACTGTAATAGCATTCTACCCCGGAATAATTTACTCTCCAGCTTACTACCGTTATATTCCTAGATATCCAAGAGTCGATACACACAACCCATACTTGATCACGATGTACGACAGAAACTGCCATCAATGGCCTTGGGGTGTTGGGGTTGAAACTTGTGAAGTGTGGGACCTCTCGAGTGTTATTAAATCTAGGCCAACTGTGAAAGATGATGCTAATAATAAAGGTTCTGATCGAATTTGGAAGATGCTCGATAAACCTTTGCAAGCCACAAGAGTGGCCAATAGTGGCAATGTGTTAGAGCGGAGAAACCCACTAGCTTTAGTCCATTTTGCGAACCACCCTGCAAAAGAGATGGTCCCAAATGTAATGGTTTGCCCTTATGATTTTCCATTAACTGAGAAGGATATGAGAACCTACATACCAAACATAACATTTGGAAGTGGAGAGGAAGCAAAGATAAAGAGGTTTGGAAGTTTTTGCTTTAAATCTTGGAGATCTAGCAACGGTGAATCAGATGTTTTGGTTCTAAAGGCTCTTGTCCTTGTGGCCACTAGGCCACTTTGTGATGAAGAGGTGCTCTTGAACTATAGGTTAATCAACTCAAAGAAACGACCATCCTGGTATATTCCAGTAGATGAGGAAGAGGATCGGAGAAGGTGGAGCTGACTTGGAGCATTGGATATTGAAGCAACTTCTTCTACTTCTTCTTTTATTTTATTTTAAATTCAGGTTTTCAACCATATGCTATTTGTGGCATTACATGATCATTTCTTTAGTAGCTATCTCACTTGAGTTTCTCTGTTCCTGGGACATTTTCCTCTCTTTTTTGATGTCAATATAAAGCTTCTTCAAAGCTATAATTTTACCTTTTTGATCATTCAGTTGTAACCTAACAGGGAAGTGAACTATGCTGAAATCATCATGTTGACATTTTTGGTGCAATCTCTCTCTGTCTCACACACACACACAGGGCATGGTGAAATATTATCAGGCCAAATTTATAAGTGGAAGCATGTTCTGAATTATGGTTTCTTGTAATTTGAAGCATATTTCCTAGAAGTAAACTAAGTAATATATTTATCGCATATATTGGTTGATTTTAAAAGGCTGAGTTTGAAGATCCTACTTTGGATATCAACCCATTGTAAGGGTGACAGCCACATGGTAAGGGTGGCATTAACCCACTATCCACATGGTGGGGTAGCTGCCAACCAACAAAAGTGAAGGAACAAGCTGGCCATATGCAAGGCCAGCCATACCCTTCACCTTCTCTTAAGTGTATAAATAGAGATGGTGAAGAGAGAACAAGATATACACAGGCAGACAAGAGAGCAATATACAAGAGCAGTGTATACTCTGTTTGTGTTATCAGAGTGAGAGAGAATAAGCTATATAGAGAGACAAAAAGTGTGAGTTGAGTGTGTAATCCTCCTCTTGTTGATATATAGTGTTATCGCTCCCGTGGACGTAGGTTAGATTACCGAACCACGTTAAAACTCTTGTGTTATTGCCTGTTTGTGTTTCCTGGTGTGCTTCCGATCCCCAACAAGTGGTATCAGAGCCCGGGTGGTGAAAAATCAAGTTTTTTTCGAAAGTGCCCAGATTTCGAAGTAATTGAAATCCACTTTCAAGCATACCAGGAGGAAGCTCTAAAGGAGAGGAGTCCAGAACTGCAAAGCATAGGCCAAGAGGAGTAGGCACACGCCCCCACGCGCCCTCTGAACACAGTGCATGAATTCCAGTTGCACCCATGTGCGGCGAGAGGAAGAAGGTGAGTAGCACGCATAAGTGAGTGACGTCTTCTCTACGTCACGCGCCAGCTCAATGTGCACGTGGCTGACAGGTCAGTGCCACGTCAGCCGGACTGCCACCTGTCATCTGGTACGTCATCTGCCACGTTAGGTGCCACGCCAGCAGGGTTACCACGTGTTTGACACGTCAGCCACCCAGTCAGCGCCATGTCAGCACGTGGAGGAATGATCCAGCGCTATACGGCTAAGGTGTAGCCATAGATTTGAGGCGTCCAAGCTATTTTAGCTTGATCTGAGCCATTCTGGGCAGCAATAATGACTTTACCTTGTGGCAGCAAAGGGTGACAAATATTCTAACACGAGAGGGCCTGGTAAAAGCTCTTCACAAAAAGTCCAACAAACCGACAAACATGCAAGATGACAAGTGGAAGGAGTTAAGAGAACTGGCAAACAGCACGATCTAGTTAAGAGAACTTACAAGTGGAATAAGTGAAGACTGAGGAGGAAGATAAGGCTATTATCTTGCTGTCTCGTTACCATCATCATATGAGCATCTTAGGACTACTCTATTGTACGGGAAGGATACTCTTGGACTAGATGAGGTGGTTGCTACGCCTATTTCTCATGCGTCAATGAAGAAATAGGAAAGTAGCAAGTACCTAGAAGGAAATGCCCTGGTTGCATTAGAAAATGAGCAAGGCAGAGGCAAGTCCAATGATAGACGGGATAGACACAAATCAAGAGGACGTTGACAATCAAGGCCACGTTACATGAGAAAGTGTTATTATTGTGATTAGGAGGACCACCTCATCAAAGACTGTGCAAAGCTCAAGAAGGACAAGGCAAACAAGGAACATGTGAGTTCATCAAATGTCACCGCTGTAGTGAGTGATGAGGATGAGTATGCACTCACAGTTTCGCCGAGTATGATGAAACCTGATTGGATTTTAGATTCCAGAAGTATATACCATATATGCATGGACAGGAAACTTTTTTCCACCTACCAAGTGAAAGACGGAGGTATTGTTTGTGTGGCTAAAAACACTATGAGTAAGATTGTTGGCATGGGAACAGTACGGCTCCGAATGGAAGATGGAAAAATTTTCACGTTAGATGGAGTCTGACACGTGCCGAGACTAAAGAAGAATCTAATTTCCTTAAGTATGCTAGACTTGATGGGTTATAGCTTCTCATCTAGCAAAGGAAATCTCAAAGTTATCCATGGAGATATGGTGATGCTACATGGACGACTAGAGGGGAATCTGTACAGGGTTGTTGAAAAGGTTGTGACAGAAGGGGCTATTGTCACTTACCGGTCAAGAAGTACAAGACACGCACCGAAAAGATATAGGGCTCAGCAGACATGGCAACCAAAGTGTACAAGAACGCGTGGAGGCAGTTCGAAGGTGCACAAAACAGAGCCATTGCAGCCAATTTTAAAGAAAGCTCAGAGCAAAAAAACCAAGACAGCAAAGCATGTCCTAGGGAAGAAAAGAGTTTCTTTTGCTACTGAATTAGAGACATATTGCGATCTCTCCAAGACTGCATGGAAGGGAGAGATGCAATCACAAAGAATTGCAAAGTAGGTTTTGCATGGCACCCTAGTGAGGGAGTGCAGGGCACTCCAGGCAGGGGGTGCTATTGTGGATCACCTCACATGGGTTGAGGGGGTGATTTGCTGGATATCAACCCATTGTAAGGGTGGCAGCCACATGGTAAGGGTGGCATCAGCTCACTATCCACATGGTGGGGTAGCTGCCAACCAGCAAAAGTGAAGGAACAAGCTAGCCATGTGCAAGGCCAACCATACTCTCCACCTTCTCTTAAGTGTATAAATAGAGATGGTGAAGAGAGAGCAAGATATACACAGACAGACAAGGGAGCAATATACAGGAGTAGTGTATACTCTGTTTGTGTTATCAGAGTGAGAGAAAGTAAGCCATGTAGAGAGACAAAGAGTGTGAGTTGAGTGTGTAATCCTCCTCTTGTTGATATATAGTGTTATCGCTCCCATGGACGTAGGCTGGATTGTCGAACCACGTCAAAACTCTTGTGTTATTGCTTGTTTGTGTTTCCTGGTGTGCCCCCGATCCCCAACACCTACACCCCTTAACAGTTGGTTTGATCATGTGAATATAAGCTCTTAGGTATCCTCTCCTTCCAAGCTAGTTTTCAAGGGTTAATTCTACTTATGGATTTTTATTATTTGGTATAAAATTTGGCTACCATGTCGAGTATAGGATCATATGAGTTACTGTTTAATGATTCATGGCTCAGAGGGGGCAACCTATATGCTAACAAAGAGGGTGAACTATAGGCTAGATAAAGACACTCTAGTATTGTAACAGTACCAGCATACTTTTTACAAGTACAAAAGCTAAATCCGAGCGTGAACTTCTGTGTATGGTGAGGTATGGGGAGCTTGAGCTCCAGCACATCTTGGAGAGACTTTGGAGATTACTGTTTTTCTCCTTGAAAAACCATACAAAGTGAGTACTAAACTTTTTCAGTGGTTAGATATATGATTGTGATTACAATATTCTTTTTTTCTAGTAATATTAGTGAGAAAAGTATTTAATAAAATATTTAAATGTAAAAAGTAAAAAGGTAAAATTAAAAATTTAACCACTTCAGCTACTTATATAAATCAACTTACTTGATTGAATTTAGTACATTATCAAATAACCTTTAATTTTTAATATTCAATTTTATCAAATATCACCTATGACAAGTTTGATATGTAGAAAATAATCAGTATTGGAAGGGTGTCACTTAGGGTGGTTTAAGGAAAAGCAAATCAAGCAAGATTTCTTAGGGTGGTTTAACCACGTTAAAATGGGCTAATATATTGTTTGATCTCATATCCATTTTATTGTTTCCATTTTTTTTATTAGTTCATCATAACAATGTAAAAAGGTTTAAAATTGAATGAAACAAGAGAATCATTTGGATTTGATAGAGCTTTTATCCATATTTAGGCCCGTTTGATAAGGGGTGCAAATAGTTACAAAAATTATTATAAGTTGTTAAATTATTTTTTTACACATTTATTTATTTATAAAATGTCAAAAAATCAACTCCAAAAGAACCCCCTAGATTTAAACACCATAAGAAAACGCTGCCCATAAATGATTTTTTAACTAAACTTTCTTATCAATAGAGACATGGACAATGAATTTCACATATACTTATTAACATAAATTTATAATTTTCATGTTAGTAATAAGAAATTTTGATTTAAAAAAAAAATTTGGGTAAATTATACCGCTAGTCCTTGTATTTAATCCCTTATGTCATGTTGGTCACTGTAATTTGAATTGGTTCGATTTTAATCCTGAATTTTTGACTTTGTCTCAAATTGGTCCAATTAATTTTAATTGTATGTATTTTTTTTTATGAAAAAAGCACACATGATCAGGTGTCATACTTTCAGAAATAAAATTATAAATTTAATTAATTCAGTGACTCAATCGGAACCAACTCAGTGATCATTTCTCATAAAAAATCCTAATACACTACAAAAAAAAAACATCTTTAGTGACCACCTATTTTTAGTTGGTCGCAAAAAGTACAGTAATCTGCGACCAATATTTATTTTGGTCACGGATGATGGTGTTTTCGTGACCAACGTTTTTTTGGTGGCTAATAGGTAAGTATTTACGACCAAATACAAAATGTGGTCGCCAAAAGTGATGGCAGGAGCGCAAAAAAAAAAAGGCGGGACATAAAATCTTTTGGCTACCAATAGATGGTGGTGACAAAAAGGAAAAAGGATACAAAACTACGTCGTTTTGAAATTCTTAAATCAAAAATATGTTTCCTGAGCCTTGAGCATCCCTCATTGTTGCCCTCTTTCCTTAATAAAAAAAAAAACGTTTCCTGTTTCTTTAAGCTTCCGATCGGTTCATCAAACCC